ATATATTTTTCCGGCCCGGAATATCCCGATTTTACTCGATTTCCTTTTATTTGTACTACTGGTACTACGAGCTGCACTCCCTAGTCCTACCGCCACCCCCGTCATTTACTATTGCGACCCCCCCCTTCCATGAGCCCGAATCGCAAAACAAGATCTGAGGGGGGGGGGTGTTATTAATGTCATCTCAACATTATTCTGTCTTTCATTTTGCAAGAGGACTTCTCGAGCTTCGACAAAGTGGAGCCATTTAAAGAACACGGGCTTACAGTTTTGAGTATGAACATCCACAACATCCCGATGGCCTTAGGCGGCGCAGTAGCATCCAAGAGCTTCTGACTGACTCAAGATCCGTTATTTAGGACCCTCATGCGCGCAGCTCCATATCCGGAACATACCGGCGGTGTCCAAGATCTTGGCAAACCTCTAATCAAGTATCCTGATCTCCCCCTTCAAGCCAAAGTCAAAACCCAAACCCTAAACACTTTATATCCCTCTATATACATACCGCTATCGATCCCTTTATATCGCTATAGATCCCTAACCCTTCTGAAGCCCAAAGGCGAACCTCCACTTCAGAGGCGTCGAAGTCTGCGTCTTCCTCTTCAATCGAGTCTGCAGGTACCTCAGTCTTCCAGTCACTGCATATGAGGGATTTTACAGGATTTTAGTTATATTGGGTTTATACAAGGATAATGAAGGGAGTAGAGAGGGTTATATAAGATTACACGGGCTTTTCTCTTCCAGCCACTGCAAGCATATGGGCTATTCTCAAAATTGTAGGCACCTTTTTGCTGTGGATTGTATTACGGCACCTAAACTCTACGGGTACCAAAACGGGACCCTAATGTTGGGAACTACCCATGTAAAGAAAACTGGCTTTGGATGGCTACTTGCTACTAGGTGCAGTTGATAAAACCAGAAGACTCCTGCAAGAAAAGCAGGCCACCTGTTTTCCGAGTGATGATGCTACCAAGTCATGATCAAAGTGCTATGTGAGCTATAGTCTAAACTCCTAGTACTGCCCCTATTAAGCCCTATAACAGTCTTTTATATAATCCCCCATATAACCCCTTTTAAGGAGTTTCGACAGTAGCTCATGTAGAATCTTGTTGGCCTTGTGTACCCTGGACAGCCTCGATAGGTGACCCAGCCCTGGCCACCGCCGAGGCACAAAAGTCATTGCTTGCCAGAGGTGGGACTCCATTGACTTGGTGCTAATTTATAAACCCCGCCTTCAATTACCTCACCTTTGGAGCCCTCTGGCCATGCAAACTCTAAACCCTATAGTCCCGCTCAAGTAGATAGAATATGGGGTATATGGGGATCTTATGATAATATACCCAAAGCCATATTCTATCTACTTAAGGGGGACTACAAACCCTAAACCCTAGGGGTTGTGTTCCAC